AGCAGTAGCTTCCAAGCTCCTCTTTGGAATTTCATATTGCCTCGTAAAACGCCCTGCCCCTCCTGCAGCGGCAGCTTCTCCTGGAGGGCTCTACGTGCTTCCCGTGAGTTTTCGGCTACGTTGCATTCCTGTTTGGTTAGAGCACTGGGCTTAGTGTCTGCAGATTCTTGAATTTGCATTAATTACTACTTAGGAAAAAGCACATATGCATACACTCACTGGAATCTATGTCCCTAAGCAGAACATTTCAATGTTGTTCTTTCATTTGGTCATAGTCATAAAGCGTCGGTGTCTCTACGGGCCCCCAGATCCCCCCGATTTCTCCAAAAAGGCAGCCTCTTCGCTGCGCAGAGCAGCAGAGCCTGTGTGAATGCCCACGCCAGCACGGTTAGTGTGGACAGCATCATGCTTGCAGCCAGCCCTGAGCCCACCGGCAGGGTCTTCCCCTCACTGCTGGGTTCAGTTCTCCCTTCCCAGGGACATCCATGTCTTCTAACGTTATCTACCTACTGGGCTCCGGGCGGCCAAGACCAGCCTTTTCATGACACCAGGTTTACAGTTCAGGAAAAGAGACAAAGTAAAAAACAAAACAAAAAAACCACAAACGTGATGCTTTTTCTCTTCTGAAGATTGGAAATGTGTAACTCTGCAGAGATATGTCACAGGGCTTGGGGAGCTTCTCTGTGGCTGTGTAGGCAGCTTTTCAGTCCATAGTATATTTTTAAGCATGACCAATGTAGCAAAAGCATGGACATCGCCAGGCATCCTGGGTTCTATGGCAGGACAAGACTTCAACCTGAAGCCACTAAATGTGTGACTGTCTTCACTCTGTAAAGATAGTTATCATTCATCATTCTACTTCAAAATTCAAAAGTTTATTGCTTTCTCTTACCTGATCTGCATCCCCTAAAAATCAGATGAAGGTCTGTTAGTCAAACTTATGTTCTCTCCTAAGACCTACACACACTTTCAATCTATCTTTCTATTTTATTCCAAGTTTAATATCAACAAAAAGTGGTATAAAATTAATAAAAACAAACTAAAATTCGGAATAAGTCTCTAATCCGTTTCTTTTTTAAAAAAAGCTCCATGTATTTAATTGAAAGACAGAATTACACAGAGATGGGGCAGAGGCACAGAGAGACAGAGAGAGAGATCTTATTTGTTCACTCCCTGAATGGCTTCAGCATAGAGCTGAGCCGCGCAAAAGTCAGGAGTCAAAAGCATCTTCCGGATCTCCCACACGGGCACAAAGGCCCAGGCATTTGGACTAACTCCTGCTGCTTTTCCAGGCCATTAACAGGTAGCTGGATCAAATGTGGAGAAGCCAGAACTAGAACCAATGTCCATATTAGACGCTAGCACTACAGGATGCTATTTAACTTGCTATGCCACAGTGCAGGTCTCAGCTCATGCTCTTTCTCAGAGCACTCTGAAACTGTGTGACCCCGGGCAAGTAACCCAGTCTGACGTGCCCTAAAACACAGGCAGTCTGGCCAGCCAACTCTCACGTCTCCTTTTTAATCCATGCATGTATTTACAGGGCTGAGTGAGAGAGAGGGGAGAGGGAGGGAGAGGCAGAGAGACAGATCTTCCATCCACTGGTTCACTCACCAATGCTTACCACAGCCAGGGCTGGGCCAGGTGGAAACCAGGGGTGTGGTAATCCATGATGGTCTCCCACATGAAAGCAAACACGTGGGCCGTCACTCCCTGCTTCCCCAGGTGCATTAGCTTGAGCTACTGAGGAAGCTGAGTAGCTGGGATTGGAGCTGAGTTCTTACTGGACTGTTTGAGATACAGGGCCAGAAGACAGGTCCCTGCCAGGCTATGAGAAGATAATTTTTATTTTGATGTTAAGTATCATGAAATCTCATTGTCATGAACATGCCTTCATACCTAATGCAGACACCTTGGCACTTTTTTCTTTATATATTATATAATCTACGATACATGTCATATACATGCGTGTGTATATGTAGTATGAATCAGGCTGTCAGGAAATATCAAAAGGTATCTTAAATGCCAATCTACTGGTGCCAGCTTGTGGCATGGCTTCTGCCTGTGATGCCAGCACCCAATGGGGGCGTCAGTTCCAGTCCCAGCTGTTTTCCTTGCAGTCCAGCTCCCTGCCAGTGTGCGTCAGAAGGCTGGGCGGGATGGCTCAAGTCCTTGGGCCTCCAGCCCCATGAGGGAGACCCAGAGAACTGCGCAGGCTCCTGTCCTCTGCTTGTCACAGCTCTGCCCGCTGCTGCCCTTTGTGGACCAAGAATGCAGGATTCTCTCTCTTCCCCTCATCTCTCCCTCACCCTATGTGTCTCTGCCCTTCAAAGGAATCAGGGCATTTTTGTTTTTTTTCTATAAAAGCAGTTTATTAAGACAATCTTAAGTGAACTAGCTTATTTCTATACAATGCCTGAGGGGATGCTTGGCGTGTCATCATCCACACGACCCTGGAACTAAGTGAGCCACAATTGAAGGCATGGCGTGGTTAGTCCCACACTGCACCCGCACTGTGCGTCTGCCCTCTCCAGGGGCTTTGAAGGTTTTGTCCTGAAGACGAAGCGCAGGCGTCGGCCTCACTCGGCTCACAGGGATTGCATGGGGATCATAGGGGACAATGTGGGTGAAACGCTCTTATTCCGACATTTGTAATGTGATTACCTTCTCATCTATTCCATAACTATGTGCTCCATGTGTTCCTTGTGTGAACGGCCTGATTTTAATCACTCTGTTCAATTTTATCTGAAATAACAACAGAAAGCCACCTGTCTGCTGTCATTTAATGTGTAACAAAGGTTGCATTTCACAATGACTCATGGCAGTGATATCACATTTACTCAATGTGTTTTTGTCAGATATGTTAAAGTGAGTCAGATTGCTAATTCCTTTACACCAATCTAACTTTGGTGAAATTAAGCACATCTGGCCATTGCACACTTGAAACACATTTAATCTATTTGATGTTTAATTGTAATGTAAAATGCACACTAAATATGCAGTAAAAAAAGCACAGGGGGCCCAGCACAGTAGCTTAGCAGCTGAAGTGTTTGCCTTGCATGCACTGGGATCCCACATGGTAGCTGGTTCTAATCTCAGCAGTCCTGCTTCCCATCCAGCTCCCTGCTTGTGGCCTGGGAAAGCTGCCAAAGATTGCAAAAAGCCTTAGGACCCTGACCCACGTGGGAGAACCAGAAGAGGTTCCTGGTTCCTGGTTGCTGGTTCCTGGCTTCAGATTGGCTCAGCTCTGGCATTGCAACCACTTGGGGAGTGAATCAATGGACTGAAGATCTTCTCTGTCTCTCCTCCTCTCTGTGTAGCTGCCTTCCCAATAAAAATAAACTACATCTTTTTTTAAAAAAAAATAGGAGATGGATTAAAGAAATGATGTATCAATTTAAGTTTTTCAATTTCATTGTCTAGAACATGTTGAATTAATCTCATTTGTGTTATGTATGTATAAAATGCACACTGAATAAATTAACATGAAATAGCACAGAAAGTCCATATAATTTATTGAAATGATCATATTTTAAATATATTGGACTAAATAAAATGCATTATTAAAGGTTGTTGTTCCTATTTCTTTTTAAAAATACAGACACCAAAAAAATTTTCACTAGCTCCACGGTTCACAATATGTTTCAGTTAGACTGACAGATACAGGTTACAAATATTTTAGGTGGCAGTTTACAAGGAAGCTAGAGTGAGCATGGGAGCTGCAGTAACCACATCTGTGTGGCCTTTTACTCCTGTAGTTTCCGGGGAGACTAACGGGGGCCTAGGTAGAGTGACATTAGGGTTCCAGTTTATCCAGAATGTGACATTGTGGGCTCCTCCGGGGCTTGTGAAGTGGGGATAGTAAGAGTGTTCGTTGCTGAGAAACGTTCCAGGTGCAAGAACGGCTCCGCGAAGCTTCCCGAATCTCTGTTGCTCCAACGTCCACGGCCGCGGTCAGTGTGAGTCAGTTTGGACAACGCATGTTCTCAGCGTCGGTTTCATCGGAGCTCTGGTTGGTTCTTGCACGGCTGCACGTCTCAGATTTCCGACAGCTCCAGCCTTCATCTGTGTTGATACTGCAACGTTGGCTTCAGCTGTGGCTTTGGCTCCTGCCTGCCTTTGCACGTGCCTTACCCAAGGTCTCCATGCACGTTTTCCAGGTTCCCCACTGATACCATCGTCTGTTCCATAGTAATTCAAGTAGCAGGACAAAGTTGGCATGGCCATCTGTTTCTCTGAGTCTAGCTGTCCTAAGCAAGGGGCTCTTTCTTCACAAAAATTAAGTATCGCCTGTATAACAGCTGGTTAAAAAAATTAAGAAATGATAGCTATGTACAGATAATTGAAAGTTATAAGATTGTAAAAAAAAATTTCCAAAATATATCCTTGGGTTACGAAGTTGTATGTGCATGAGTGAAACAGACACTGAGAATTTGGTTTTTCAAGAGACTGGTACTCAGTGATACCCGGGGCAGTGTGATCGCAGCCCACCGAGTAGAGAAGACTGCTAGAGTTTGCTGCCGTTGGCACTGCAGTACTTGCGTGATGAGGTCGGTGCACAGGAAACTCGGAGCCAGGAGCGGTTTGAAGGGGATCGCTCCAGTAGAGGGCATGTTAGGTGAGAAGCAAACCTCGTTTCAGGATACTGAAGACGTCTGCTAGGGATCTGCCCTAGGCGAACTTGCTGGAAGGTACACAGGAGGCATCCATAACCCACCTGAGTAGTGAGCTGCGGAGCAGAGGAGCGCATCCCCGCGCCTGGAGGACTGAGCACAGAGCCTGCAGCATCAGGAAAGCGCTGTGGGCATGTTAGTCCAGCCGAGGGCAAACCAGCTGGACTAACAATGAAGACACCATAAATATCTCTTTGGGGGGAACCCATGGAGCCCACCCAAATGCTGCTTCAGGGAAAAGCATTGGGCTTGCCTCGAGGAAGCTGGGTAGGGTATTTTGAGGAGGAGACGTAACAAACTACCTATGGCCGAGCAGACGGTCTTGGGCTATATTGTTTGCTGGGAAGCTGCCTGTGAGTGGTGCTGCAGCACCACCAGGAAAGCCAGCTGGGCTGTGAAAGCAGCTGTGACAGTGCAGTTAAAATCCACCAAGCATTGGCTCTGAGTCTCAGTGTCAAGCAGATCCCCGGAGCAAAAGCAAAGCATGTCCAGGACAAAAGCCCCATCTCCCGACAGTATCCCTCCAGCGCCCTCTACTGTCAATTTAGGGATGGAGGCAGGCAATTTGGTGAGAGGCAAGGAATTAATAAACGATCCTGCGTGATCCTTCAAGCTCAATCCAAAATGTTCAAATCAATTTCAGATCTAGTTTCAAAGTGTATTTCTCGGAATAGCAATTAGCACAAATTCTGAGCTAGCAGATGAAAGGCTGCCTCTGTCTCTTTGCCCCGTATCAAATACGACTGATAATTTCTTTTAAAACGAAACGAAACAAAACAAAAAACACTTTTTGGACACCCACATGCCATATCAGCGCATATGGGTTCAAATCCCAGCTTCATTTCCAATTCCAACTTCTTATTTTCCCCTGGAGGCAGCAGTGACTGCCCAAGCCCTTGTATCCTTATCATCCAAGTAGGAGAAATTCAGTCCCTGGTCCGGCAGAGCCCTGGCTGTTGCGTCTTTGGAGCAGAAATCAATGGATGCAAGATTTCTCTTTCTGCCTGCATCTATCTCCCAACCTTTTAAGTAAAAATGAATATAGACCTACAATTATTTTTTAAAAGAAAATCAAGTCATCATGATGGGGAAAATGACTTATAAGGCATTCAACACTTCATGGGAATAAAAGAAATGTAACTTCTGCTAAGAGGAAGACGCGGGTTACAGAGAACAGAATTTAGGAGTGTTTGGGACACCCACGTGTGTTTGCTGAATTATGCTTGCTCAGAGCTGATCCATAGCCGGTGTCCTGATGCACTTGGTTTGAAAAGCGCAGTCAGGCTGGGAAGCTGAAAACCTCCACAGTGAGGACTGATGATTTTAGAGTGATGGCAGGGAACCAGGGGCCGGAGTGAACATGTAAGGATTATTTTTCTTTAAGAGTTAAGTGAGTGTGGTGGTAATTCAACAGGAAGATGTCAAGCTGACAACCACAAGGGTGTGTGGTTGAATGTATTGGGAAACTGGCAGGCCTGTGCTCATCAGGGAATCTCTGGGCAGACATGAGCAGATGGGAGTGTGCTGTGAGACACCCTGGGGCACTGTCTGGGGCTCTCACAGAGGCAGCACAAAGCTGCTTTTGGGGGGTCATACTGAAGTAGCCCCCCAGAAGGAAGCCAGGGTGATTGTAAGGAGGGCACTCCTTCAAGACCCTGGCAGATGCCCTTGGGACTCCCTGGACAAGTGCCACCAGCATTTTCCAGTTGCCCTTCATCACCTACAACAAAAAGGAGCAGAACACACAGAGCAAGGAGAGAGGGCCCTTCCCACTGCAGTGCTCTCTGGGGGAAAGAAGCAAAGCACACGTCAGTGTGTGATTCAGGACAAGCAAGGGTGGATTTGGAGCTGAGAGGCGATGATCTCACTACCGGAGAGCTGGAGCTCAGGGAGGTCTTTCTGCTGGATGCTGGCCTTGCCCCCTCCCTATTTGGTCGTCTGCTTCTGCCCTCAGCCGCCATGTATCTCACCTCTGTCCTAAGCATGCGGTGACAGCTGCTGGTCTGCTCCGTACCCTCATTGAGGCTGTGCGGTGTAGCACAGGCAGCGGCTTTGAGCCTTTCTATAGTATCCATTTTTTCCCATTCCAAAGGGAAGGGAAAATCATCCCAAGAAAAAGCTCCATGGTTCCTTCACCTTCCCCCTGATCTTTCTTGTGGGTATTCAGTGCTTTTCGAGAAAAATTGACTTTGAGTGGGTAAGAAACCCCTCCACAACATGACCCCCAGATTTTCTAATAGCTGACAATCAGTCATTAGCATTCTGTTTTTTTTTTTTTTTAATTACCCAAATGGGGAGCTAGCCTGGTGACATATTAGGTTAGCCAGTCTGTATATTTTAATTGGAGAATTTAGACCATTCACATTCAAGGTTAATACCGATAGGTCATGACTTTTCCCATAGATCTTCCGATTATATGGTTAGGATTTCTTTTATCTTCTGCTTTTACATTATTTTGTGATGATTGGCATCATTCTTTGCTTTTGTGCGTAACACGTCCTTAAGTTTCATCTGTAAAGCTGGACAAGTGGTGACAAGTTCTTCCAGTTTCTACTTGCTTTGGGATGTTTTTACCTCACTGTTGTTTATAAAGGACAGCTTTTCAGGGTACACATTCTGGGTGGATGGGTTTTGCTTTCCGCCTTTTAGGATTTGGTCCACGTTTCTCCATTCTCTCCTAACCTGTAGGATTTCTGATAAGGAATTGGTTGTTGGTCTAATTGGGGATTTGCTGGAGTTTCTCTCATGCACAATTTAGAATTGAAAAGTTTGACTATAAAGTGTTGTGCTAGAGATCTTTTCTCACCATGTTTTCTCAGGAGCTGTGTGTGGTGTTTTCTGTATTTGATGTCCCACCTCTCTCCAAATTAGGAAAGTTCTCTGCTGTTATTTCACTGGATGTGGTTTCTAATCCAGTCTGTCTTCGCACAATACATAGGCGTCATGGCATCCCACAAATCTTGAACACTATTTTCAGTTTCTCTAACCTCTCTCTCTTTTTTGTCAGACAGATATATTCCCAAGGATTTGTCTTCTAGCTCAGATATTTTTTTTTCCTCCATTCACATCAACTCAGTGGTTAATGCTTTCTTTTTTTTTTTAATTTTTAACTTGACCTATTGAATTCAAAATCTCTAGTACTTCAGTTTGATTTCTCTATCTCCCAACATTTTCCATCCATGTGTTTGTTTCTGTGGGTTGTTCCGTAACCCCATGCCAGATCATCTGACTTTGTTTTCAGGCTTTTCATCCCTCAGTCTGCACATTCTAGTGCTGAAGTATTGTTGTGTTCTTTTGAGGGAGTCATTGTATTCCTTGTTCATGTCTTTGTATTTCTGTAATTTTATAGGCATCTTTGGAAACATTTTTTGGTTCTCCTCTCATGATAGTTTTTATCTTCGAAACTTGCCTCTTCATCTTAGTGGGGTGCCTGCCCTTCCAGTGGATATACCAAGGTGTGTGTTGGCTGCAGCCAGAGATCTGCTGTACTTGAGAATGGGAATATTTGAGGATGGAACAAGAGTTCAGGGTTCACCCAAGTTGGGCATGGTAGATCTACTCTATTGCTATCATGAAGGAGGATGGGGGCTATCATCACACCATCTGGCATTCTCACAGCCTCACCCCTGTCTGCCAAGGTGATCAATGCCTGGGGTTACCCCACAGTGCCTGCACTCCCCATCAACACAGGCCCATGGACTGCATGTGCGGGATCTGTTCAGTCCTCAGTATGAGCAGGAAACTCTGCCTCTGACATATGACTTCCCAGAGACACAGCTGTGCCCAACCTCAATTATGTACACAAGGACACCACAGTCACAGGGAGCAGGGATGCATGATTAGCACCACTGACCTGCCTCATCCTTGGATAGCAGAGGTGTCCCAAAAGCTTGCTGTCTGTCCATGTTCTGCCTTGAAGGTTTGAGACCAGGCATCTCATTCCAAGGAAAAAATGGCCCCTCAAGACCCATTTGTTTGTTGCCTACAAAGAAAATATCTCACCAACAAAAATGCACATAGACCAAAAGTGAAAGGATCAAAAAAGATGCTACATGTTAATGAAAAACAAAAATGAGCAGGTGTAGCTATCCTAATATTAAACAAAATAGACCTTAATACAGAAACTATTAAGAGTCAAACAATGGCATTATGCAATGATTAAAGAATCAATTCAACAGAATTTAAGCAGGATTTAAAACAGGTTCTGATGGATCTAAAAGAGACCCAGAGTTCAATAAACAACAATGCAGGACTTCCACATCCCATGATCAGCAATGGAATCAGCAAGACAAAGAAACGATAGAGCTAATCTACACTACTCTGAATCTATAAACAAATAGATGATTGCTATCCATAGAACATTTCATCCCATAGTTGTAGGATGTACATTCTGCTCTTCAATGCATGCCACTTTTTCTGGTATAAACCACATGTCATGATATAAAGAAAGTATCAAGAAAGTGTACTATATATCTTTTCTAATCACAATGCAATGAAGGTGGAAATTAATATGCAAACATAAGGAATCTGAACAACATGCCCCTGAATGAAGAGTCATACAAAACATGAAAACAGAAATCAAAAATTTCCTAGAAATAAGTGAAGATGACAACACAACACTCCAAGACTTATAAGATATAGCAAAAGCAGTGTTGAGAGGGAACTTTATAACAACTAGTGACTCTGTCAAGAACTAACAAAGAAATCAAGTAAATTATTTGATGATGTATCTCAAAAACCTAGAAAAATATCGATTATCAGTCTTTTAGCTAAAATCAAGTGTAAAAACTTTTAAAAAGTAAGAAAAAGCAAACTCAAAAATAGTAGGTTGAAAATAATTAAAATTTGATAAGAAATAAACAAATCCAAACATTTTATTTTATGAAATAATAGATAAGACCATTAGAAAAGGGGGACGAGGGGAGATTCAAATTAATGAAATCAGCAGCAACAACAAAAAGAGCTGTTATAGTATATATCACACACAAATATGTATCCTACCAGTCCCCACAGGGGCAGACAACAGTCCTCACTGGCACCCACTGTAGTGCAGCCCATGTACTAAACTGGAAGTCAGACCAGGATAGAGCCCAATGAGGTCTCTAGGTGCTGACAAAGCTGGCTTCACAGACCTCTCCAGGCCAGTCCACTGCAAAAAATGATGGCTCAAGAACCAGAGCTTGGGGTATGCCAATAAGGGGAGCCTAGAGAACTGGGACCCTGGCTGTTCCTTGACCAGGTCACTGCACCTGATAATGTGTGTGAGAGTAAGCTGGGATTGGGCTGGGCTGGGCTGGGCTGCATCTCCAACAGGTGTGGTGGGCCTCACACACATTAGGATCTCCAAATTCAGGGACCAGAGCCTACGGGTCTGGCCTTAGCACAAATGTTGCACAGTCAGAACACCTCCATTGTTGACTTCTGTGCAAAGAAGACAACATCTCACAGTAGTGATGATGACATAGGAACAAAGCACTAATTGGAAATTCTTTAGCTTGTGAGAGAGAGCCATTGGACAACACAGATTTCCAGGCCCAGGATAGGCAAAACTTAAGTCACTAATCAGCAGGAAATAACTATAGCAGATATGACAAGTCTATATACTTCAGCAGCCTTTAAGATTAAGTGTCAAAAATCTTTGAGTGGGAAATGGCTCATATCAAAACAAGTGATGCAGAATGGCTGTCTCCCTCTTCCCACAGACAGAGTAGAAGGCTATATATAACATTTATCTCTCCCACCATTCCCCTCTCTGACCACTCCATTTCTGAATGTGGCCCAAATGCCTAAAATCTCCTTACTTTTTAAATAAAGTTTATTAAAAGCAGAAATTTGTTTAAATGATAATTACTACAAACAGGTGTATGCCAAAAATTGAAAATCTAAAAGAAATAAACAGATTGATAGACATGTACAATCCCCCAAAACTGATTTATGAAGACACAGCAAATGTAAACAGACCAATAGCTAAGATGGAGATTGAGTTGGTGTAAAGCGCTTCCCAACAAAGAAAATCCTAGGACTGGATAACTTTACTGCTGAATTCTTCCAAACATTTAAGGAAAGAACTCTTTCTAATCCTTCTCAAAATATTCAAAACAGTCTACAGAATGGGAATCCTCCCAAATCTTCATCACCTTCATTACAATCAGAAAAAGATACAACAAAAAATAAAACAGGATATAAATATCCCTGATGAACATAGACACAACATTTCTCAACAATATATTCTTCAATCAAATCCAACAACACATCAGAAAGATCATGCATCAAGTCCAATTGGAACGGATCCCTGGCAAGCAGGACTGATCCCACACACATGAGTCAATAAATGTGATATGCCATATTGAAAAATTAAAGAATACTAATCTTGGGCCCTGCGCGATGGCGCAAGTGGTTAAGGTCCTCGCCTTGCACGCCCAGGATCCCATATGGGCACCGGTTCTAATCCCGGCAGCCCCGCTTCCCTTCCAGCTCCCTGCCTGTGGCCCGGGAAAGCAGTCGAGGACGGCCCAAAGCTTTGGGACCCTGCACCCGCGTGGGAGACCCAGAAGAGGCTCCTGGCTTCGGACTGGCATAGCATCGGCCCGTTGCGCTCACTTGGGGAGTGAATCATCGGACGGAAGATCTTCCTCTCTGTATCTCCTCTCTGTATATCCGCCTTTCCAATAAAAAATAATAAAAATAAATCTTAAAAAAATCAAAGTATTTTGAATATTAGTCTGGGACAATTAAATTTCATTTGGTGGCAACAATGGAAAAATAAAAAAATACAGTGAAAGAAGTTGTGGCTAAGGGATGATAACATAACTGAACGGAAAGGAAAACTGACATGCATGAAATAAGAGAACTCAGATGGAACATGGACACTTCATCAATCAGAGTTAGAGGGCTGAAGGACGGGCATCTAGCTGCTGGTGATTCCACATTCCGTATCGTGCCTGGCTCGAGGTTCAACTCCACTTCCATCCAACTTCCTGCCTTGGAAAGGCAGAAAGTAACAGTTCAAGTAGTTGGTCTGTACCACTCTTATGAGAGATCTGATGAAATTCCAGGCTCCTGGCTTCAGCCTAGTCCAGCTCTAACTGTTGTGTGTTCTTAGAAAGTTGAAATAATGGCTGAACGATCTCTCTCTCCCAAATAAAATGTAATTAGATGATCTTTAAAACAGAAATCTCCACAGGCTACAATGAGTGTCCAGATTAGCATACTGAATTTACAGAGGAACACAAAAACTGAACAGAGATCTGAGATTATTTTTAAATTTAGGAAATGAGTAGATTACTGTTACATCCCAGATGTGCTGAAGGGTAATATAAGAAATATTTAACCAGAGGGAAAACATTTCCCAGTTGCATATGAAATAAATTACAACACAGGATACAGTATAGCCAAGGATTAGATTTCAAACATAAGATTAAAGAACTTTTGCTCAATAAATCAGTTCAATAAATACTTTCAATATTCTCGTCGACATAAGTAATGCTGGGATAGATACAAAGCTAAAGATGGATGATAAGGATTCCTTATTCAGCTTCTTCCTCATTTGGAACGTATTCAGTTAGGCCAATGGACATTGATTATAGTATTTCATTTATGCATAAAGTGACGCCTTACATTAATACGGGGGAAAGGGATTGCATAGGCACAGAGAGGCACTTAGAAATGTCTTCCATCATCCTAAGATGTCCTCTGAGAAGATGTTCAAAAACTGTGAGGTGTTGTGAATTTCTGTTGCTG